AGCTCACAAAGGGTGTACGTTTATCCGTATACAGATTGTGCACATCAGTATAAAAAAGAAATGCTATTTAATTAAAGACATTTTAGCATGCATAAAATGAGTACTGGTTTCCAGTGGACTGTTTAATATATAGAATGACAAGACGGAAGAGAAAGGAACAGTATGTAAACATGCAAAATGTAATCAATAGGAAAAATACCTGCAGGCATTAATACACTCCATACGTTCCAGAATATGTGTACTTTTAAAGCCATTAGTGTGAGTTAACAGTAATTCATCTGCTGGACTTAAAATATGACCATATATGATATTGTGACATGTATATTGTTTTATGCAACAATGCAATGGCCGGTGCAGTATAAATATGAAGAACAGTATGCGTTTCTGTGACACTACACAGATAAGGTGATTTGAGAGTGTTTGAGAGGGATAACACAAAACAGAAGGCACTCATAACTCCATCATGTTAGTACGTGTGTGTGTGTGTGTGTTTGTGTGTGTTGCGTGTGTGTGTGTGTGTGTGTGTGTGTGTGTGTGTGTGTGTGTGTGTGTGTGTGTGTGTGTGTGTGTGTGTGTGTGTGTGTGTGTGTGTGTGTTGGGTGTAGAGGAAAGAATTCCTGCTATCCTGTCGGAACTGAATCTGTGAGTTTCCCAGGAGTACCTCTGCTCTTTATTGTCAGTTTGTCAGTCACTTTTAGCCAAACACTATTCTCTTATTTTCCCTTATGCAGCAGCATTTGTCTATTAAAACTGCTCTGTGTAATTATATTGTGTGTCAGTATGGAGAAAACAACAAAAAAACAAAGAAAGAGGGAGGGAGGGAGGGAATTTGTTTTAACGGAATGTCAATTTTCCTCTTTCTCTCACTCTCTCTCTCTCTCGAAAAAATTTTTTTTTGGTTTTGCATTGTGCATAATTTTAGGAGCTTGGTTAAATCCCAAGCTTTCATAGTTTGTGCTTCGCAGAGGGAACACTCATTAAAGAAATTATGGTTTAAATTATGCCTGTCATCTCTGGTTTTTATGTGTGCTTTCAACCCAAGCTTTAGTAGAACAAGTCTTGACAGTTGCTAAGTATTCTCCCTTGGGCAAACCAAAAACAACACAGTAACCAGAAACTCAACCCTAGGAGAGAATGTATTGTGCTGGTCATTTGGTTTGTACTGCATGTGTGTGTGTGTAAAGAGCAAAGGTGGTCGTTGAGGGACTGTAATTGTCAAAGACTTCAATACTGGAGATTAAGAGGACATCAACAACAAACAGGCTGCCAAGCTACATTTAGCTTAAAGAGACATGAATGATGAAATGAGTAACTTACTAAAGAAGCTGCTTGTCAAGTTGTCATGTTGATGTTTTCCAGAGACACCCAGAGATTTTGTCGAGTAAAGGCCGTTTGAGGACTTTGATCACCTACAGGCACCTTCCATTAATAAAAAACAACAACTTGTGGAGCACACTGGAGCAAACATTTATCGTTAACATTCATGTTGCCCAATGTAGAAAATATGCACATTTAACATATACGTATCAGTACTCTAAAACAAAATGGCTAATCTTACTAGAAAAAAGAATCAAGTTAATGTGTGTCATTTTTTCAGATTAAAATACTTCCTCCATCAGTTAAATATGCCATATTGCAAGTTTTTAATTTTGTTGGTGATACAAGTGCTGCAGAAATTGTACACTAAAGTTGTAAAATATTGAAACAATATTGAAACACAAACAGCATCATTTTAATAATTGCTGTAAATTTACAGAACTTCAGTTTTCTATTTGCATATGTGCATATAGTTTTGCATTTCCACATATATTTTTATGTCAATTTTGGAGAATGTGGCCCTGGACATTTGCAACGAAGTGTATTGTGCAGATATAAATGGGCCTAATCAAATTTAACCAACTGTCAGTTAACTCTCTCTCTGTACCTTATAAAACTCTCTCTCTCTTATCTCATATAGGCTATTCTCCCTTCAAATTGCCATATATAGGACTAACACAGGGCAGTTGAGACAGCCCTATCTCTAACGGGAATGTTGGCAGGAATTGCACTCTGGCTACTGTCTATATTGCTATGATACAATGCTGAGTGGATGAAATCACAAGACTACTGTACATCACTAGCACTGCTGTCTCTAAATCACTCCAGGTTATTAGTTTATTCATGACCATTCAATGAAAAAATTATTCTGTATAATAATCTCTGAACTGACTGCATGCCTTTATAAGGTACTTCGGAAAGTTACTGTACCATGTTGTTCTTTGTGTGTTTGAGTGTGTGCGGTACATCACGTGTGGACTTGTTACCATTTCACCCGCTGGCAACACGCTCTTATCTAAATATACTGAAGAGAGAGCGACGAAGACATAAACTTTACTGATGCAAGCAAACCACAATCAGCATCCAACATACCTCTCTCTTCTCTGCCTCTTCTCTTTCACTTTATTACCCTCTCCAGCTTTCTTTCTTTCTTTCTTTCTTTCTTTCTTTCTTTCTTTCTTTCTTTCTTTCTTTCTTTCTTTCTTTCTTTCTTTCTTTCTTTCTTTCTTTCTTTCTTTCTTTCTTTCTTTCTTTCTTTCTTTCTTTCTTTCTTATTTGAGCTCACCTACTGACTGCTTGTCTTGATGCTAACATGTTGTCAGAAGTGTCATGCACATTCAAATGTGCACCTTTAGATTTTTGACACTCTAAAACATAGATTTACAAAAATATTATTGGTAAAAAAACAAACAGTTTGTCATTCATATCTATTGGTCTGTCCAGTTGAGGGGGACCTTCTGCAGATCATTTGATTTAAACTGAAAATGTTGCTACATCAATCAGTTTGCTCTCATGTCAATAAGCAAGAAGATAATGGTTAAAAAAACAAACAAATTCACTGTACAGGACGGCTGTAAAAGATTGTCTATAGCATTTTTATTTTTATTTATTTCATACACATGCTGTCACTTTAAAAAAATATATAATATCTGCCAAAATCTAAAAAAGCTAGTACTAATAGTATGACTGATCTTTTTAGTCATTACAAAAACTCTTTTCATATTAAAATGGATTTTTTTTCTTTCAAATTGTCATAGTGAATAATTTGCATGTTGGTTCGACACTTGATTTGTTGCCGCTGTACTTGCGAATAGTATCCAGTAAATTTCCATTCAGTGAAACTGGAACTTTCCTAGTTACTGATCAAATGACTGCTTGCGTAACGTGTGTGTGTGTGTGTGTGTGTGTGTGTGTGTGTGTGCGTGCGTGTGTGTGTGTGTGTGTATTTGTGAATCATTATTGTAAAATAAGCCCAGAGAAACATTAAGAGCTAATATTAAGAGCAATTTATTTCTTGTGTCTAGTCTTCATATGAAAAACACTACTTCAAAATGATTTTTTAACTCGTTGATGGATTAATCCAAGAACGATTACATTCTTTCTTTCTCCAAGAAAGAAACTATTCACAAAGAGCAATTCATTTAATAGGATGAGGTCATATTTCCAAAAGCCTTGGTCTTACGATGATTGTAAAGATGATAAAATAGAGTTTATTACTTTATTCTCATATTCGACTGTATATGACCTAACCTTCTCCTTTAAGTGGTAACCACATAAAATAGCTGGTCAGTGAATGCCACTGAATGTGAGGACAAATGTGTTATCCTTCATCTGTCTGAACACGACCTCATATCCTGTTCAGCACAGGTGAGCTTTCCACTACCCTGATGTGAGCCTAAGCTCTTTTCCTGCTTGTACTTGTCATTTTCTCTGCAATATCTGCTTTGCTATTTTCAATTCAATTAGGAAACATGTCTTTGGAGCAAACAAGAAAAAGAAGTAGCTCTCTTCACTAACCATTAACTGTGATAAAAAAAAAAAAAAAATAGGACATCAGAGGCGACAATCCAACCAAACGGTCCGAATTTTATTGCTTCCTCATATTGTAAAGGTTCATGCTGCCAATTTCTTAGCTGTTATCGAATGTGTTCTGAGACAGTAAGTGATGATTCAAGAGGAGTTATGAAAACAGTGAAAAAATAGATTCATTTGGTTCCTCTGAGACTGGACATCTGTTTTTCTCTATCATCAGTTTTCTGTCAAAGAAAACACACAAAACCCCAAATTTACTTTGGACTGCAAACATATTACTCACACGATGATTATACATTACATTGTTACTACTGCTGTCATGACAACAATGTCTTTGTAGAGAGATGTCACTTAATATTTCTGTCTTGGTATTTTTTTACTAAGACGTTTGGCTTGTGACGGCCAAATTTTGTGGGGGAAAAAACATAACAAAAATGACTTGTAAGGACATTTGAATTGGTCCTTGTCTGAAAGGCTTATTAACCAGCCAAATCATGTTTCATTGTAAATCTAATAAAATCAACAGGTTTGGGTTTGAGTCAGGGATTCCCAAATCTTTTTGTCAGCTGAACCTCTTTAACCCTTAACCCATATCTTCGGTCTTTAGTGACCCTGGGACGTCATTCGCTACAGTCCTCCTCATTCATTTTTTAAAAAGTTAGACATCAACCTTCTTAGTATTCCTCAATCAATTCATTATAGACAATATAACAAGAATAAAATTATTAATGCTGTCAAACGATAAAAATATTTAATCGTGATTAATCGCATTAATGTCATAGTTAACTCGCGATTAATCGCAATAAATCGCACATTTTTATCTATTCTAAATGTCTCTTCATTTCTTTTTGTCCCATTATTTTTTTCTCATTTTAATGCTCTTATCAACATGGAAAAGTGGATCGGCTTGCTTTGTGCAAATGTTTTTTATTGAAAACAACATTGGCATATACTGTGTTCAATTTCACACTAACATTCTCACTTGGAGCAAATAATCTCTCACACAATGTAACACTGTCCATCAATAAAAGGGTGAAAGAAATACTGACGAGGTCCTGATATTGACGAGGGGGCGGAGAATTCGCATCAGCTGTGTGTGTGTGTGTGTGTGTGTGTGTGTGTGTGTGTGTGTGTGTGTGTGTGTGTGTGTGTGTGTGTGTGTGTGTGTGTACTTGTATTTCTTACTTTATGGGGCCCAGTGACCAGGAGCACACCAACGGTATGGGGTCCAACAACCTTGTGGGGCCCGAAATGGTGGGCCCCACACCGATTTCAATGTAAACTGCCTCAGAAGCCTCTGCTGATATGCCTCATGCTTTTTTTTCACTTTCCCCACAAGGTGATAAAAACTGGTTATGAGTGTGTATGTGTGTATGCTCTCTATCGCCCCTGTAGCTGGGAACGTGGTATTGCAGCAGATACACACTACCGGAAGTGTGTGTGGCTTTAGCCAATGAGAAAGGCCCACGGAGAGGGAGGGAGGAGCCGTGTAGTTTTATTGGATGCGCCCACGCTACACGCACATTGTTACTGGGTTTTAATCTTCAATTCCTCGTGTTTTGACTCTGTTTCAACTGAAGAAACACTTCATGTAGGCTAAGCAACAGGATTCTGTAATCCTATAGTATTTAACTATACATCTGATATAGTTTAATGTGTATTTCTAGTCGTGTGAACAGAATGATGCTTAATGAAGTAAGGTTTTAAACAGATGGCTAACATTAGCTGCTAAAAGTTCACGGAGACGGCATTTTAAACCGGAAGTTCCACGCGCTTCGACTCTGAACACACGGAAAACACTCTTCATGTGAGAAACCGGTAGGTGAATTTATTTGACTTTGTACATGATATTCGTTTCAATTCTTACTCAATTTCATAGCGCACCTAAATGATAGTTAATGATGTAGGATTTTATTCAGATAGATAGCTGATAATGTTATGAGCTGGTGATGCTATTTATAGATCGATAGCTGATCATGGCGGCTGCGTAAGAAGCATTTTATTGCATTAACGTTACATGATAATTTGACTCCGTTGTCTTTATAGTTTTGCAAAAATCCATTAATGTATTGGTTTGCCAACTATTTCACAGACTTTTTTTAGCTCATGTTTTAATTTATCAGACATGATTGCAGATCACGTGCAGCTGACAGACTATCTGTTTATTGATCTATTTTACAGTATTTACAAAATGGCGGAATAGATCTAACTATCATTTCTGTGTTGTTGTCTGACCTGTGCAAGGTAGGCCTACATTTAGATCTTAAACCACTGAATATTAACGTTACATTACTTGAAATTGTTAGATTTTTTTTTTTAAAGCTAATTTCCCCATGCTAATTTTATTTATTTTTATTGTGTATGTGTAACTATTTTCAGAGCCATAATGTTGAAAAGAAAGACAAGGATACGGCCTGTTGATGATGCCAGGACACACATTCTGTCATTGAGGGACAAGCCTGGGTTTATGGAACGATTTATCGATAGTAACAAAGGTATGGGACAGCATATTACACATTCATTTCTTAGTACTGATCGTTTGCATACGCTTACATGATAATCCATGTCTTTGTAGTTGGAAAATTATAAATTAGCATTGGTTTTGTAAAAGTGTCCACATTGTGTGTTAATAATAGAGCCAGGCCGATATTAGGCATTTTCCTAACTATTGGTATCGGCATTTATAATGGCCGATAAATTAATATTTTAAATGCGGGATGCGGTTATTCATGTCAGGGTGGCGCTGCCAATAAAACCTAAAAGCTGTCACAAAGAACTGGCAAAAGTAATGATTATGAATACATCAAATATAGCAAGGAGACATTTTAATTGTTTATTAATAAACAAGTGTTTTCAGTCAGTGTCGCTGCAAAGATGAACTTACGACGCTGACTCGCGATCTTCAGTGAACACGCCAGAGAGAAATGCACATTTCATACGGATTACATTTAGCAGAGATCAGTCTGTCTTTCATTTTGAATTTTTCTGTTTAAAAGTAGACATTTCAATATAGATATATTTCTCAGGGGCCGTATTCACAAAGAATTTTAAGGCTAAAAGTAGCTCCTAACTGGCGAATTTAGGAGCAACTCTTAAAAATAATGTCACTCCTAACTTAAGGACTCCTAATTTTTTTCACTAAGAGTAATTCACGAAGCATTTTAGCCCTATAAGTAGCACCTAAGTCTGGGACAGCTTAAAAGAAGTCGAGAGGACTCCTAACTCACTAAGACCTATTCACAAAGGATTGTAGCGCACACCACCGCCTCTCGCAGTCGTCCGGGCTCCGCGACACAAGCGGGAACGCTGCATTGATCTGCAAACAAATCCTCTCCCATTCTCACGCTTAGTTTTGCTTGATATCCCAGTGCCGAATTTCACTTTGATTATGTTTTTTTTTTTTGTTTTTTTTTTAAGCACCAACTCGGCCAGCAGCAGTAACTGATCCTGCGTCCAGTTGGGCTTTCTTTTTTACGTTTTGGCGACTTCATAATCCACTGTCATTCAACTATTACATTACTTCAATAAGAGCAACATTTCCTTGCTTTAAGTAGTCTATTTAGGCTAATAGGATGTCAATTAACCAAGCAAGTGTTAATGCAAGTGTTGTTTTTCATTATTAGGCAAGTGGCGGTTTTCATTGGGGTATTAGGCTACCTTAATTTAATTTAATTCACGACTTTTCTCTCTCTCTCTGCCTTTTTAGAATCACACTTAACTGGAGCCTGCACAAACATGTCATTATATATGCATTTCGATGACATTACTATTATTATTTTGTGTAGGACACAGACATATTTAGATGTCGTAATTCCATGATTTGTTGCGTCTGTGTTATGCTCCGCATGATGGCCCTGTCATCTAACACCCAATCACTGTGATCACTGCGAGGAGGCTCGTGCATGAGAACTGACGTCATCCATAGCAACGAAGACTCACTCTTAGTTTAGGAGTTGTCATTTTCCTTACTAAGAGTAGGTCTGAAAGGTGCTGTGATTCTGTGATTGTTTTTTTCCTTTAAGAGAAAACTCCTAGCTAAAATATTTTAGTGCGATTTAGGAGTACTCCTAGTGGTAAGATAAAATTCTTTGTGAATACGGCCCCTGGTCTATATGCTGAGTTTCTGTTCATTTATGAGTCGAGCTCCAGTTCACCCGCCGGCGCCTCCATGTTGAGATTATCTATTGTTCGCTATATTTACTTCTTATTTATTAAAGGAGAACTCCGGTGCAAAATGAACCTTTGGTCTAATAAAACATTGGTACCTAGTCAACCGTTCTCTGAGATTTGTTTTCATGATAATCGGATGTAAAGAGTTTTATCTCTAAAAACTGTTTAGCGTATAACGCTTGTAATGGGGGCATATAATACACTTCGTGTATACAGACCATACAGACAGGAGCCATCTTTGGAAAACAGTCTCGACTAATCAAACCACGAACGACGTGCTAAGTGAGCTGAACTGTATGAAGTTCAGTGAACTTCTGAACTGTATGAATGGCGTTCGTGGTTTGATTAGTCGAGACTGTTTTCCAAAGATGGCTCCTGTCTGTATACACGAAGTGGACTGTCTTTATCTTTATCGGTCTGTACACTTACACAGTTCTCAATGCTTCGTTTTGCATGTAGGGACCCTCATTATGTTACTGTGTTCATGTGGGGCTATTTTGAGCCTTGTTAGTGGTATAAACTAGCGATTTCTTTTTACTTATTATATGCCCCCATTACTAGCGTTATACGCTAAACAGTTTTTAGAGATTACTAGCGTTATACGCTAAACAGTTTTTAGAGATAAAACTCTTTACATTCGATTATCATGAAAACAAATCTCAGATAACGGTTGACTAGGTACCAATGTTTTATTAGACCACTGTACTGTACATATGAAATTAAAAACGTTTTCATTATGATATTATTAATTTTACTTTAGTAAAAAGATCTGAGTTATTCCTCCACTGGTAGAGATTAGAGGAATTAAGACTAAAAATAGAAGATAATAAGGTTTTGTCAGTGACACTTTTGATATTTATTGGTACAAGTTATGTTTTATATAATGTGACTAAATTAAAATACAAAGTCGTTAGTGAAGATTATGCAACAGTATTTAGAATAATATAACATGCAATGCAAACTAGTTTGGTTACAGCTCAAATGTATCATTCTCATTCTATCATTCACCCTGCCTCCATTACATATCTTTGTCACACAAGTGTTTGATCACCTCATTTGAGTAGGGTTGGGTACCGAAACTCGGTGCCAATAGGGAACCGGTTCCGACGTAAACGGGAGTAACCGGACCGAATAAGAACGACAATTTCGGTGCCTGACTTAATTAGGCACATGCGCGCGTGCGCACACACACACACGCACAGTCTCTTCTGTCTCGCATGCGCGCTGCCGCGCTCTTGCTCGCAAGGTTTGTTTGGCTGCATTTCACGTGTAAAGTTACGCGTCAGAACGCCCTCTGGGTGTGCCGATAGTCTGAATCCCATATAGAATCAAGCCAATACATTGGCTAATGGCGCGGGCGCCGCCTCCACGCACTTACGTCTTCATATTATGTTGGCGCGCGCGCCATCTGCTCCTCAGATTTCTCTGCCGAAAAAGGAAGCTGGTCGGCAGCGCGAGGAGCTTGGCAGCGTCTCGTTCCCTATTGAGAGAACATAGGTTACACCAGTAACCAGAGATGTTCTCTTTCATAGGTTCACTTAACGCTGCGTAGCTAAGAAGCAGTGGATTTGTAGGCTGCTGTATCACGTGCCGTTTGAACTGACGCGCTACAGCGATCTGTCACATTTCTAAGAGCCAAAACGTTATTTATTGTGTGAATCTCGTAAAAATATTGACAGAATCTGACAGTTGTGGATTTGTTCCATATCAAAAGTAACCTTCTCTGTCTTGTCTGTCGGTGTCAGTGTCCTCTTTGTCCGCGATTTTTCTCTGCGTGAGAAAATGGATGTGTGGCGTGAGATCGTGAGTCTCACGGTCAATGCGTGAGAGTTGGCAGCTCTGCCTGCTCGTAATCTCTATTAATCTCCACTATTATTACATTGTTTGATTCAATATTGTTTTATTTGATATTATGTAAATGTGTAAAATGTAGCCTAATGTAAAAAAAAATATTTTATATTGGTTTTATTATTACCGTATGTTACTTGTATTTATATTGTTTAAAGATTTATAATATACAATATACAAATATACATATATACATATACAATATACAAATATACATATATACATATACAATATATAATATACAATTTATATTGTTTAAAGAACCGTTTAAGCACTGGAACCGTTTAAAAAATACCGAGTAGGTACTGGTATCGGATAAAACCCAACCGATACCCAACCCTACATTTGAGTGGTCATTGCAAAAAAAAAAATTTGATACTGTGTATTCTATATACAGTACCCATCAAAAGTTTGTACACACCAATAGGAAAGTGTCCAAACTTTTGACTGGTACTGTACTATAATACACATATACATAATATTGCTACTGTATTGTAATATACACATAAATAATATCGGCCGATATCGGTATCTGTCTTTTTTTTATCGGTATCGGCCCCTAAAAATCCATATCGGTCGGTCTCTAGTTAATAACCTGAATCACAGACCCCATCCACACTACTGCGTTTTAGTTTAGAAAGGGAGAATTAAAACGAATACGATCTCAGTCCAAACCAGCGTTTTAGCTGCATATTAGAATTGATCTCGGGCCACATTAAAACGACTGAAAACGTGGATCACGTGACCATTCACCAACACTGGGCATGCGCGTGGCGGTGTAAACCTAGAGACTTTCAAACATAGACTGTAAAAAAAATGCTTTCAAACATCAAAATGTAATTTATTATGTATTTGTGTAAATAAATGCTATGCTATTTAAAAAGCTAAATTGCAATGAACCATGACGGGTAGCCCTCTGTGCGCACACACTCGAAATTAGTATTGGTACCGTTCAGATATTTCAGTATCGATATTTTTGACAACACTAGTTATACCACATCTGTATGTGAAGGGTTAAGACAACACATTTTTCTTCCAGTTAAATGTATTTTTAATTGTTTGTCCTCATAGGAAGAGGAGTGTTTACTACCCAGCCTGTGGAAGCCGGAGCTTTTGTTTTGGAGTACAGGGGTGAACTCATTTCAGCAGAAGAATGCCGGGCAAGAGACTACACTGAGTTACAGAGCACATTTCTGTTTGAATTTGAGTGGCAGAAGCGTCACTGGTGGTGAGCATGGAAACACGCATGTTTTGTAGAGATGTTGAAAATTCTAATGAAGACATGTAACACACATTATTGAGTAGCTGATGAATGAACAACAGCAGGACCAATCTTTTAATCGCACATGGCTGGTGAACCGCAGCAGTTAATTCCAATGATAAGTCTTGAAGTCCCCCTGCTGTCAATCATTTTATGGGTGGTGAAATTTGGTATTGTAGTTCAACAACTAAAGGGTGGGTTTCTTATTTATTTTAGTATTGATGCATCCAAAGAAGACCGCTCCCTTGGAAGATTGATTAATGACAACCACAAATCTCCAAACTGCACCATGAAAAAAATCGTAGTAAACGACAGGCCACATTTGTGTCTATTTGCTGTGAAGAAAATTGAAATAGGAAGTGAAATCGAATACAACTATGGTGATTCACAATGGCCATGGCGTAAAAAGGTGAGTTGGTTATATTAGCTATACTGATTTTAATAAATTTTTTTTAAGTGCTGAATAGCACAGCTACATCTGTTTTCTACCATATGTATTTCATTATAAATCGTATATTAACCTGATTATCTATGCATAGCTATGTGATCTCATATGCATGATCTGTTTCTTAGAACTTTTTGTATGATTTCCAGGGGCCAAAGCAGCAGACTTCTGTTCTAGAGACCAAAACATCCCTAACAGATCGCTCTTCCCATGATGACTCCAACAAAGATGCTGTCGTCACACAGGTAAAGGAGTAACGTTGACTCTGTCATCACAATCTATTCTAGTCTCACAATCTATTCTAGTCTCGCCCTCGTGCTGCATGTCAAGTGCTCACACACACACATTTCTAGTCTAGGCTTTATGGGGCCCTCCCCTCAAACGAATGAATTCACAGTTAAGCTCAAACACACACACATTTCTAGCCTAGGCCTTATGGGGCCCACACACACACACATTTCTAGTCTAGGCTTTATGGGGCCCTCCCCTCAAACGAATGAATTCACAGTTAAGCTCAAACACACACACATTTCTAGCCTAGGCCTTATGGGGCCCACACACACACACATTTCTAGTCTTGGCTTTATGGGGCCCTCACGTATGGATCTCACTCTTAGGGATTTTACATCATTGGTACTACACCTGTCAATATTTAAAGTAGTGTAATTGCAGGTGTAATTCAACACTTCTCAAGCTGCTGCATGTTCAGAATGAGTATTTTGGATGTAATGCATTGCAACATCTTATTTGTTGCTGTGACACTTGCTGTTACCTCTAGAAAAGATGAGTGTATGCTCTTATATTTCAGCTGTGCTAGATGAGAAACTGTTTTCACATGAGCTAACTTTTGTTAACTTTGGTTTCTGTTGTTTTTTGTCTGATTTCCAGGAGCCAAAGCAGCAGACTTCTGTTCTAGAGACCAAAACATCCCTAACAGATCACTCTTCCCATGATGACTCCAACAAAGATGCTGTCGTCATACAGGTAAAGGAGTAACGTCGACTCTGTCATCACAATCTATTCTAGTCTCGCCCTCGTTGCGCATGTCAAGTGCTCACACACACACATTTCTAGTCTAGGCCTTATGGGGCCCACACACACATTTCTAGTCTTGGCTTTATGGGGCCCTCCCCTCAAACGAATGAATTCACAGTTAAGCTCAAACACACACACATTTCTAGCCTAGGCCTTATGGGGCCCACACACACACACATTTCTAGTCTAGGCTTTATGGGGCCCTCACGTATGGATCTCACTCTTAGGGATTTTACATCATTGGTACAACACCTGTCAATATTTAAAGTAGTGTAATTGCAGGTGTAATTCAACACTTCTCAAGCTGCTGCATGTTCAGAATGAGTATTTTGGATGTAATGCATTGCAACATCTTATTTGTTGCTGTTACCTCTAGAAAAGATGAGTGTATGCTCTTATATTTCAGCTGTGCTAGATGAGAAACTGTTTTCACATGAGCTAACTTTTGTTAACTTTGGTTTCTGTTGTTTTTTTGTCTGATTTCCAGGAGCCAAAGCAGCAGACTTCTGTTCTAGAGACCAAAACATCCCTAACAGATCACTCTTCCCATGATGACTCCAACAAAGATGCTGTCGTCACACAGGTAAAGGAGTAACGTCGACTCTGTCATCACAATCTATTCTAGTCTCGCCCTCGTTGCGCATGTCAAGTGCTCACACACACACATTTCTAGTCTAGGCCTTATGGGGCCCACACACACATTTCTAGTCTTGGCTTTATGGGGCCCTCCCCTCAAACGAATGAATTCACAGTTAAGCTCAAACACACACACATTTCTAGCCTAGGCCTTATGGGGCCCACACACACACACATTTCTAGTCTTGGCTTTATGGGGCCCTCACGTATGGATCTCACTCTTAGGGATTTTACATCATTGGTACAACACCTGTCAATATTTAAAGTAGTGTAATTGCAGGTGTAATTCAACACTTCTCAAGCTGCTGCATGTTCAGAATGAGTATTTTGGATGTAATGCATTGCAACATCTTATTTGTTGCTGTTACCTCTAGAAAAGATGAGTGTATGCTCTTATATTTCAGCTGTGCTAGATGAGAAACTGTTTTCACATGAGCTAACTTTTGTTAACTTTGGTTTCTGTTGTTTTTTTGTCTGATTTCCAGGAGCCAAAGCAGCAGACTTCTGTTCTAGAGACCAAAACATCCCTAACAGATCACTCTTCCCATGATGACTCCAACAAAGATGCTGTCGTCACACAGGTAAAGGAGTAACGTCGACTCTGTCATCACAATCTATTCTAGACTTGCCCTCGTTGCGCATGTCAAGTGCTCACACACACACATTTCTAGTCTAGGCTTTATGGGGCCCTCCCCTCAAACGAATGAATTCACAGTTAAGCTCAAACACACACACATTTCTAGCCTAGGCCTTATGGGGCCCACACACACACACATTTCTAGTCTAGGCTTTATGGGGCCCTCACGTATGGATCTCACTCTTAGGGATTTTACATCATTGGTACAACACCTGTCAATATTTAAAGTAGTGTAATTGCAGGTGTAATTCAACACTTCTCAAGCTGCTGCATGTTCAGAATGAGTATTTTGGATGTAATGCATTGCAACATCTTATTTGTTGCTTTTACCTCTAGAAAAGATGAGTGTATGCTCTTATATTTCAGCTGTGCTAGATGAGAAACTGTTTTCACATGAGCTAACTTTTGTTAACTTTGGTTTCTGTTGTTTTTTTGTCTGATTTCCAGGAGCCAAAGCAGCAGACTTCTGTTCTAGAGACCAAAACATCCCTAACAGATCACTCTTCCCATGATGACTCCAACAAAGATGCTGTCGTCACACAGGTAAAGGAGTAACGTCGACTCTGTCATCACAATCTATTCTAGTCTCGCCCTCGTTGCGCATGTCAAGCGCTCACACACACACATTTCTAGTCTAGGCCTTATGGGGCCCACACACACATTTCTAGTCTTGGCTTTATGGGGCCCACACACACATTTCTAGTCTTGGCTTTATGGGGCCCTCCCCTCAAACGAATGAATTCACAGTTAAGCTCAAACACACACACATTTCTAGCCTAGGCCTTATGGGGCCCTCACACACACACATTTCTAGTCTTGGCTTTATGGGGCCCTCACGTATGGATCTCACTCTTAGGGATTTTACATCATTGGTACAACACCTGTCAATATTTAAAGTAGTGTAATTGCAGGTGTAATTCAACACTTCTCAAGCTGCTGCATGTTCAGAATGAGTATTTTGGATGTAATGCATTGCAACATCTTATTTGTTGCTGTTACCTCTAGAAAAGATGAGTGTATGCTCTTATATTTCAGCTGTGCTAGATGAGAAACTGTTTTCACATGAGCTAACTTTTGTTAACTTTGGTTTCTGTTGTTTTTTTGTCTGATTTCCAGGAGCCAAAGCAGCAGACTTCTGTTCTAGAGACCAAAACATCCCTAACAGATCACTCTTCCCATGATGACTCCAACAAAGATGCTGTCGTCACACAGGTAAAGGAGTAACGTCGACTCTGTCATCACAATCTATTCTAGTCTCGCCCTCGTTGCGCATGTCAAGTGCTCACACACACACATTTCTAGTCTAGGCTTTATGGGGCCCACACACACATTTCTAGCCTAGGCTTTATGGGGCCCACACACACATTTCTAGTCTAGGCTTTATGGGGCCCTCCCCTCAAACGAATGAATTCACAGTTAAGCTCAAACACACACATTTCTAGTCTAGGCCTTATGGGGCCCTCACACACACACATTTCTAGTCTTGGCTTTATGGGGCCCTCACACACACACATTTCTAGTCTTGGCTTTATGGGGGGCTCCCCTCAAATGCTCGCTCCAATGTCAACCTAGATACACCTAGATGTACCATACCTAGATATTAGGGGTGGAACGGTTCATGTATTCGTATCGAACCGAAACGGTACGGGCGTCACTGTTCGGTGCACGAATTTACACGGAGAATACACGGTATAAAAATAAATAAAACTCGCGTGCAAATTAATTAATGTAATGTGGAACTACTGTTAGATACGCGGGTTCTTTAGGGACACATAATCTGTACCATCGGCTTAGCTCTGAACGCGCGTTCACTTCAAACGTTGGCTACGCGCGTCCTATTCGCTTTGGACTAGCGTCGAACTAGACGCGAATTTGAAGCTCTATTCGCGTTTGGTGTGACCGTGACCGCATAATGAACAGGCTGCGATGTCAAGATTGCAATGCTGGAGTGTGTGTGTGCGAGAGAGAGAGAGGCGCACAGGCGCGATCGAACTGAGAGAGAGAGAGAGTCATTTTGTTTATACAGATCATTAAACCTGCAAAGTGTTTACTTATATTTGTGTACACTCGCAATAAAACACAACATTGTGCTTTTGTCACACTGTAAACTCTTGTCAAACTGTAACCTACAACTGTCACCCAACCAAAATCACATACACACTGTTTTAAAAGCAAAACATATTTATCCAACTCCATTTCAAAACAGTCTGTCTTTTGGACATTCATCTTATTGCATTGGTTTTCATTTCTTGTCCTCGGAGCACTAATCTCACACATTCTACATTGATTAAAAAAGAAAATCGAATGTGTTTTTAATGGTAGTATTATTTTATACAGAAATCAATTATTTATAATTCAGATGAGAATAATGTTACATTGCCAATTAATAATGTTAATTAAAATTAAGGAAAACAAATATATTGATCTGAAATATAGCAAAATAATTTTAAATGAATAGTACAATTACCAAACATATCGCAAGGTCTTTTTGTCTTTTTATTAATTTAATTAATAAACTAATTATATAAAACTATTGTCAGTGCACTACAAATAAACTGGTTCTATGCCTTTATTAATAAAACTTATTTAAAAAATACAATGCCTTCTGCATTTTTGTTTTGCTTTTTCCCTCCATTGTACCGAAATCGTACCGAACCGTGATGTCTGAACCGAGGTATGAACCGAACCGTGACTTCTGTGTACCGTTCCACCCCTACTAGATATGTTTTCTATTATTAGTAGCGTGTCCACATGTTTGTGCTAATATTAACTCTTAATGTGTATTTATTTTGTTTAATTATATTTAGGTATTTACCATCAAAGGGTTTTCCCTAGTGAACTATCCCGAAAGTGATGAGACGGATGAGTATATTAAAGACAACCCTCCAACTCCACACTGTGATGTTGTTCGAAAGAAGACGAGGAATGGAAACATTCAGGTATGCTTCAGATACTGTACTTTAAAATGCTGCTGTTTCTATAAATGGTTCAAACGTACTTCCCCGTGACTAATTTTAATAGAATGTAAGCCAAAATGTATTACATCTTGAAATTGAAACTCCTTTTTTGCAGGTGGTTGGAGTAGCTGATTTTTCTGATCCTCTGATTGACTCAAATGAGAGTATAATAGATGAAACTGATGAGGATTCTAGTCTGCAGTCAGACAATGAAGTTGTTCCAAAAAATATTTTGGTATGTCTCTGACACTCTGGGCACATTTCTACCAAAATATTTCCCCTGTATTAGATTTCCATAGAATGTGAACAAAAATGCATAATCATACATGACATAATTCCCTTTTTGCAGATGGATAGAGTACCAGATTTTTCTGTTCCTCTTAATGAGTCAAGTGATGACAGCATGGATGAGCCTTCCACTTCTATGTCTGAAATGGCTTCACAAAGGCCGAGGAGAAACTGTCACCGCCCTGTAAGCCTAGTTTTTTCATACATTATATCACTTAATGGTTAGTGCTAACTAACGCAGTGTGGGCGGCGTCAGATGTTTAACGACATACCGCTGATCATGTACTTCAAAACAATTTTACCCCCAAGCGAAATACAAGAACTTCGCCGTGAGTATATCGGGGCCTTTACTCTCCTCACGTAATAAGGGAAAACTTTGTTCATATTGGAACTCGATCTAACAGCTTTGTGTAACGATAAAGGTAAACATTAATAAAATACATTTTTTAAAAATATTTTTATAGCCTGTGATGCGACTAGAGAGGAGTCAAATGCACATCTCCAGAAACTTGAGCCTTAAATAGTTTATAGTCAAACTATAGTACTAGTAACTTTAGTTATTTCACTCATTTACCTGATGCTAGGGATGCTCCGATCCGATATTCGTATCGGGTATCGGGTCCGATACTGCCATTTTTGCCGGATGGGGTATCGGTCAGACGAGGCCGATCCAAATCCGATATTGTGCGTATAGCCTACTATTCTGTGTTATTGTTAAGCCCCACAAAAGGCACAAAAACATTATAAAGCACCATAAAGTTTTCGTGTACTATATTACAAGTGTTCTTAAGCCATTATAGTATAATGTGAGATAGAAATGAACATTTAAGTCATTAAATTCAAAATCACGTAAACTTTTGCCTCCGCTGCGGCTGTCATTCATTCTCCATTCAGCATTCAAACAGCGCGTCGCCTTCGGTTACGAGTCAGTCAACATGATGAAACCCTCTCCAAGATGATTCAATGTTACTCTTATTATACTTGATCTGTAGATAAAGCTCTATGGTTTCGCATAAAACAACTTTATCTTGCTAGACTTTATTGCTGTAACTTAATCCTGTTACTTTCTACCGGCCGGGTGTCTGTTAGATCACAACACTGGAGTCAGCTGCACTATAATTGTTCTTCACACGCACAGTAACTAAAATTTAAAACTGTTAAAAGAAAAGGTTTAATAAACTATTGCATAGATAGATACTGTATAATACACTATGCGATATGTCTTTCGTTTGTGCTTTGAACTTTTCAATGCGGACTCGACGCGCGATTCCGTGTTGCTTCAAGCGCATCATTCTGCGCTCGGGATGCGCATAAGCGCTTTGTGCCGCACTGTATTGCAGCCTTTCATAATCATAATACAGTGACGCAATGAAAGATTATTAATAGCCTTTCTTGTTCTATCTATCATATGTTGCTGCCTCATTAAACAGCAGTGCTATACATTTAAAACATGTCTCAATTTTATAGTAGCCTATAGCTATAAAATAATTTATCTTTTTGATTTTTATCTTGTTTTTCATGAATGTATTTTACAACAATACAAAGAGCAATGTGTAACGTTTTACCAGATTTAGTGTTACATTTATTGTCTCTTATTTGTTTTTTTCACTAAATGTTCAGATTTTATACAATTATTGTCGACTCGTGATTTTTCTAGACTAAATTTTATTGCTGAATTATCCACTAATCTAGTTTATAATAGCATTTTTGTCATAGATTATGATCATATATTTTTTGAATTAGTTTTTCTTTATAATGAAGTTGTCTGTATTAAGTAGATTGTGTTTAACACACAAAAGAGTGCTTATCAGAGTTCAACACACAAAGAGTTACATAAATTCTACTTGATTTAAAAAAAACTGTGTTGGTATCGGATCGGCATCGGTATCGATCGATACTTTGAATTTTTGGTATCGGATCGGTTCTGAAAAAAGTGGTATCGGAGCATCCCTACCTGATGCCAGTCAATTGTTTCTCCAAATAATATTGATAGGGGTGTGCCCTTTTATGCTTTTCTCTATATTCTCTTGTTTTTAGGCTCTTGGTCTAATCGTTATCAACAGTACGTTTCTAATTTCATTTACTTGGATTAAACTTAATCTACATTTTACTTAACGCCCCTATAGAATGTATGTCATCCCAATATGCAATGGTCAGTTTATCATACTAAAGGATTAAAATGTAAGAATTCTCGAATTACTCTATCCCATTCCAGATGTGCATGACCTTTATTGCTCACATGAGTAGTTTAAGAAAATAAACTTTTAGATATTGAGACATGGAATGGAAGCCGATGGTAACCAACATTTTCAAGACTTGATTAATGATAATCCATGTCGATACAATTGAAAGAAAGCGCTCTGTTTTATAAATCCATGTTAAAGACGCTTCTTACAGTAGTCCATAACTGCTGGTCAAAACGAGTTGTGTATTTATTTCAGTCATGTTATGAAAGGTCACTGAACAATAGTCATGCATATCTGGGATGAAGGTGAGCAAATTTCTTTTTTGTCTTTTTTGGGGGGACTAATCCTTTTTAAATTTTTTTTTTTTTTGAAAGATTCAAAGGAGTCTTGTAGAATCCGATGACTCATGTTGCGATAGTGAAGATGAGTATATTCCAAATCCCAGGGAGGAAAGCAATGACAGTGACTGCAGCTTGGAGTTATCCCTGGAAAATAAAAGGAAGAATTTCAAAATGTCATCCATTAGTCAGTGCAGAAACAAGTCTTCAAGTCAGAGCCGATTTAAGTCCAGTCAGAACAAAAGTGAGTCTTCAAGTCAGAGTCGATTTAAGTCCAGTCAGAGCAGAAGATTTGAAACAAGTCATGACTCGGTACAAAGATTTCCTGATAGCCTAGAAGGAAAACACAAGGAGACGAGTGTTTCAATGACACCTGAAGAAGAGCCATCGATCTTTGTTAATCCAGTTTTAAAGAAGGAGGATGGTTCCAGAAGATATAATAAAAAACATCACTGCTTGTATTGTGGACAGGTAGTTCAGAAAATGTCAAGACACTTGTCGCGTAGACACAGCGATGTGGTTGAGGTCGCAAAGGCATTAAGCTTGCCAAAGAATTCAAAAGAAAGGCGACGACAGTTGGATTTTATCCGAAACAAGGGTAACTTTGAACACAACACTCAAGTTTTGGAGAGTCGCAAAGGCAAACTCATCCCATGGAAGCAGCCAAAGAAAATGACAGATGGACAAGAATTCATGCACTGTGTTTATTGCTATGGAATGTTCCGAAAAAGAGTGATGTGGCGTCATTTTCAGGTCTGTAATTTCAAGCCTCAGGGTAAGACATCTAAACGAGGTAAAACAAGAGTTCAAGCTTTGTGTGCATTTGCTGAACCTGCTCCAATTGGATTTAGCGACGCGTACTGGAAGTTCTTAAGTGGTATGAATCAGGATGAGGTTGCAGTTGCTATTAAGGAAGACCGCTGCATTCTTGAGTATGGTTACAGACAGTTCAGAAAGAATGAGTATGTAATAAGCCAGCACCAATATATTCGACAAAAACTGAGAGAGCTTGGCAGACTGGTACTGGAAGCAAAAAAGTTGACACATGTGAAGACAATCAAAGAACTCATAAAGCCTGAAAAGTACACCCATGTTGTCTCGGCTGCAAGATGCCTAGCTGGATTCAATGGTGAAACTGGCAAATATAAACGTCCGTCTCTTGCTCGCAAAGTTGGACATGGCTTGCATGCTTTAGCCATGTTTATCAAATCTGAAGGATTGAAGATGAAAGATACACAGACTACCAAAGATGCTGAGGAATTTGCACTGCTATACCAAGAAAGTTGGAAATTTGACATTGCAAGCCAAGCGCTAACTCAGCTTAACCAGACAAAGTGGAATTCTCCTCAGATTCTACCATTCACACAAGATGTCCACAGACTTCATTTCTATTTGTCTGAGAAACAGCAGAAGCAATTGAATGCCCTGCAAGAAGAGCCTTCTCCCTTGAACTGGAAGGACCTTGCTAAAGTGACCCTGGCGCAAGTTATCCTCTTCAACCGACGAAGAGCAGGAGAAGTATCCCGAATGTCCTTGTCGGCGTTCCTGTCAAAGGATACATCAGAGACACACGAAGATGTTAACCTAGCCCTTACAGCACTTGAGCAGAAGCTTTGCAAACATTTTGTTCGGATTGCCATAGTAGGAAAGAGAGGAAGGAAAGTCCCTGTTCTCCTGACCCCGGTCATGAGAGAATCGCTCGATACTCTGACTGAAAAGCGAGAAGAATGTGGAGTACTGAGTGAAAACGGATACTTGTTTGCATTGCCTCTCTCTGTCCATTATTTGAGGGGTTCCGATTGCATTAGGCAGTTTGTGAACGAATGTGATGACATCAAACACCCCAAAGCACTAACCTCAACAAAACTTAGGAAACACATTGCTACTCTGTCGACTGTTCTGAATCTCAAGACTACAGAACTTGACCAATTGGCAGATTTCCTTGGGCATAACATTGAGGTCCACAGAAAGCACTACCGCCTTCCAGAGGGCACCCTCCAGCTTGCTAAAATAAGCAAAGTTCTTCTAGCGCTGGAACAGGGACGGCTAGGAGAATACAAGGGGAAGAATCTGGATGAAATTCAGCTTGATGTGACTGGTATTAAGTCTTTTTTTATTATTAAAGGGATACTTCACCGTTTTTTCATATTAAACTGTTATTCCCTTAACTAAGACGAGTTGATACATACCTCTTTCATCTCAGTGCGTGCACTTAATCGCTCTGGCGCGCCATGACACTTTGATAGCACTTAGCTTAGCCCAGTATATTCAATGGTATCTAACAGCAATGAATTTAGAAGTGACCAAACACATCAATGTTTTCCCTATTTAAAAACAGTTACACGAGTAGTTATACTACTTGTGTAACTGTCACTAGCACTTATCACTAGCACACCTACGTCGCGTCTGAACGTGACAAGTTTAATTCGTTTGAAGTACTTGTATTAAATGTTACGCTCTCAGATATAAGAAAAAAATCCCTATTATCTCTAGCCAGGGCCTTGCGCTGATTTCCTAAAAGAGTTTGCAGATTTTCTCTCAGATCTATTGGTCAACGTCGATAAAGCATTAATTGTTGGAGATTTTAACATACACGTAGATAATTCAAATGATGTGTTAGGGGCTGCGTTTACAGATTTATTAAACTCCTTTGGGGTCAAGCAAGTGTCTTGGTTAAGGGAATAACATAGTTTAATATGAAAAAACGGTGAAGTATCCCTTTAAGGAAAGTTAAAAAGCACAGCATTGTCCATCTATAAATCGTTCTCTTTTAGAATAGCAGATAGTATTTGATAAGTAAAAGAATAGAATTGATTATAACAGAGTTGAAGTATTTGACCTCAACATACTGAAGAAGAGGGCAGGTTTTATTGTTATAATGTGACTAACTTGATAATTTTAGTCTATTCAGCTATTTATGTAGCCATTTTGTATACTCTTGACAGATTGATTGCAGTTTCAGGTTTACAGCTCATTCATATTCTATTACTTGCTGTTTTAGAGACTGTTGACATGGATGGGTGTTCACAAGAGGAAGGTATGTTTGTATGATTTAAAAAAAATTGGTTATGAAAGATCTCTCATTTAAATTAGACAATTAAATGTAGATGTTATTGCACAATCATTACAGGATTGCACATATTTGGATGTTGCATTAATATAACCTTTCAGTTTAAATTAATAGTTGACATGTTTTTGACATGCTGCCTGTTGCATGTGGGCAATGTTTGACATTGTTTCCAGTTGATTGTGTGGCACAGTAAGCTACACCACAGGTATAGTTATCCAAAGGTAGTTGATCTCCACAAGAATTGTGTCCTTTAGCAAGATGATTCATCCCATTGCTCCAGGGCTATTGCCACTGTAATGTGTTCTGTAAGTTGCTTTGGGGAGAAAGTATCTGCCAAGGGCATACATTTAAATTGTGCTCCCAGTGTGAATGCAAGTCTAATTTAAACCGGCTCTCTCTACCACTGTATTGTAGAATTATGGAAACCATGTGTAATTTGTTGTTCAACTCGATTTGTTTATGTATAGCGCTTTTTACAATACATATCTGCAAGACTCGTGCCATATACTGAATATTTATAAACTTGTACTGTTGATCATTGCTTTTTATGTCACCATGACACAAATTTTATGCATAATTGATCCTTAGTTTATATTTTGATTTTTATTTTTCCTCAAACTTTTTTTTGCACTCAGATGACTTTATTCCAGACGTACAGGAGCCTGAAGTTGAGGACAGTGTGGCATCCACACAAGAACCTACATCCACACAAGAACCTACTTCCACGCTGCATTCCCAATACCAGAGAAAGTCGGCAAAAAAGAGAGGTGAGCTTAGAAATGTTAAGTGGATTGATTTGTCCCGTTCGTCTTGAAGACAGAAAGCTTTATTCTGAATTATATTATTTTATCAAATCTTTACTTTTGATCACTGCACATTGATAGCTGTCACAATAGGTTTTGTTTACACAGTCTAATATTCTGATTATAGTTGATTTACAACCTCAAACCTGAATGAGTTTGTTTCTTCTGCTGAACACAGAAGACATTTTAAAGAATCTGGGTAACCAGACAGTTGATGTCACCAATGACTTCTATAGTATTTTTTTTCCTACTATGAACGTCATTGGTGCCGTCAACTCTCTGGTTACCCACATTCTTTAAAATGTTCAGCAGAAGAAAGAAACTCATACAGGGTTGGAACAACATTATGGTGAGTAAATGATGACAGAATTTTGGGGTTAAACATTTTCATTATATGATCAAAAGAAAAATTGAACTCTATAACGATTTGCTTGGATTTAATCAAAAGTGTGGGATGCACAAAGGGAAGATTTTGCGTTTACACAAGTTTTAATATATTCATCTGCATATCATTTCCATATGCATATTCCCATCGATGTGAGACTGCTGTGTTTAACAGGACAATACATAAAATATGAGATAGAGACTGTAAAAATCGAGTATCTTTGCCTTGTTTTTAAAATAAAAATGTCCGTACAACAAAGTATATTTGCCAAAATTGTATAAAATACTTTTAAGTAGACGGTCTACTAATGCTGTAATGAGAGTTAGTTGACATGTAGGTGCAATGTTACTCCGTTAACAGAATGTCTAAAGGGGACCATCAAAATAAAGTGCTACCACACCTTTTACTGGATTGCACTGATTTATTATTATTATTATTATTAGTCAAATGTTTTATTCAGAAACAAACTAAGAGTACTTTTAGCCTCTGAACCAAGTCAATATGGCAATGAATGACCTGTGTGATCAATACAATAGTCTTTCAGTTCAGATTAAGGTTTAAAAATCCTGAACTTAAGACATTAACCTAAACTTAATAACATGTTCTTTTTATGTTTACTTAGGTAAAGAAACTGCTGTCAAAAGAAGCTGGACAACAGATGAATGTGCGGCAGTAGAAAGACACCTAAGGAAATTCATTGTGAGGAGCCAAGTTCCAGGGAAAAAGGACTGTCAGCGCTGCGTTGATGCAGAAGCTCAAGCGTTAGGAAATCGAGACTGGAAGGCGGTCAAATACTTCATCAAAAATCGTATTTCTGCCATAAGAAGGAAAGTACAGTGAAATACAGGTAGCTCAACGTATTGGATGCCTTCCCACTAGCATTTACATCGGGATATACATTCTAAGTGTTTTCAACAGTTTACATTTAGTTGTTTTCATTGTATTATCCTCTTAAAGGGTTAGTTGTCATTTACTCTTTTTTTGTCATTTCAAACACATAAGAAATTAGTTCATCTTTGGAACATAAAATATGTTTTGAATGAAACCTGAGAGATTTCTGTTCCCTCCATTGTTTGCATTGCCTCTCTCTGTCCATTATTTGAGGGGTTCCGATTGCATTAGGCAGTTTGTGAACGAATGTGATGACATCAAACACCCCAAAGCACTAACCTCAACAAAACTTAGGAAACACATTGCTACTCTGTTCATCCTAAACTTTCAAGCTTCAGAGCATTTATAACGTAGAAGTAATCCATGTGGTTTAATCCCTGTTTTATAATGTGAATGCGCTCTCACTTAATCCACCCACTTAACATTATCCAACAATTGCAATAACTGTGAACTGGACTTTGCATTGATGCAGCACACACAATTATACACATTTTCTGGTTAATAGTGATTCTTTGCCTCGTATGCCCTTTTCCTTGTTTGTTATATATTGCTCTGCCCTGTTTTTGTGCTATTGTTGATCTCACTTAATCAATCTATTATTCATATTCTCCACCAATGCAATAACTGTGAACTGGACTTTGCATCGCTGCAGCGCACACAATTATTCTCATTTTTCCTGGTTACTAATAATTCTTCGCCTCATATGCGATTTTCTTGTTTGTTATTTGTCACATTGATAACTTTTTCTTTATGAATGTTTTGAAGTTTGAAAGTTTAGGGTGAACGGTTTTTAAATGGAAAGATGGAAATCTCTCAGGTTTCATTCAAATATCTTCAGTTGTGTTCTGAAGATGAACAAGTTTCTTATGGGTTTAGAATGCCTTGATGGTGGGTGAATGAAGGCAGAATGCTCATTTTTGGGGGAACTAACCCTTTAAAGTTCTTTGTTGTCTTATACTATAACATATAAAAGGGTTAGATCCAGTCAATTGTCTTAAGTGTTTTATAGCAACAACAAAAAAAGACTGTTGGATTGTGTTTCCTTGAGTTGCTTATAGCATGTTTATTGCTGTAACATTTATTTTGGTCAATGTTATTAAAATGTTGTATAACCTCTTTTTGAAAAAAAAAAAACATTGTGTAATACCAAATATATGTTCATTGAGGACAAATCATGTTTTAAAGTTGTTGTTTTTAATCCAGTGTTTTGTGTAAAATATTACTCACTGTATTAGTGCTATAATTCCACTGGGTCTTAATCTTTATTCATCAGATGAATAGGGAGTTTTCATGTGAAGTCCTCAATTTAAACGAGTATATTATCTTTAAGCTGCAGTGAACATGACTGGCTAGGAACACAACTTCATTAGAAATAGTGGACAAGTAACCATGGGACAAACAAGATCCCCTTCAGCAAAACCGCACAGTTCATTCAATAACCAATACAATGCAGAGAAAGTACAGTTGGTGTCCTGCAGACTGAAGAAGTTCAGGCTGTGACCAAAATTTGAGGGCTCATTGAATTAGAAAAGTCTCTAGATTGGCTTTTGGCTTATGCCATGTTAATGGCTAAGCTAATATAGACGTGTGCAGATTAATTTAGAGGATATACATTATAATCTATAAAGGTTTATATGGTAATCAAGGGCAAATAATGGAAGTAGTTGATGTTTTACAGATAGTGACTTTGGTCCTTGCTAAGATATAAAGATGAGAAATGTGTGTGTATCTATGAAAGCGGACCCCACAACTCCTAAATGTTTAATCCAGGCCCCACAAGTGACACAAAAACGCATGTGCAAACAATTTTGTTTGAATTTTGTTATATTGAAGTGATATTTCTTATTAGGAAATTTTTGTTATCTTGCTTGATTTTTTATAAGTCTGTAGAACCACTGGAAATGGTGGACCCCACAATTAGGCAAAAAACGGTGGACCCCCTTATGGTAGGAAAACAAGTATGTGTGTGTGTGTGTGTGTGTGTGTGTGTGTGTGTGTGTTTGTTTTTGTGATATATGAGGACACAAATGTGTATAATGACATGCATATTACACTGGTATTACAACTTACACGTGATATATGAGGACATTGCATGAGTCCTCATATTTCAAATAGCTTAAAAAACATAAAAAACAATGTTTTTTTTTAAATGTAAAAATGCAGCATGTCTCCTGTGATGGGTAGGTTTAGGGATAGGGGCAGTGTAGGGGGATAGAATATACAGTTTGTCCAGTATAAAAATCATTACGCCTATGGAATGTCCTCATATATCACAAAAACAAAGCTGTGTGTGTGTGTGTGTGTGTGTGCTTGGCCATCATCAAGCGGTATTTCAGACTGGACGTGCTGCGATGATGATAGCTCAGTTCACAACGACAAAACACACAGATCACTTTGGTCTTGTCAATGGAACCATTTGGCAACTTTTTAAAAGTAAACTTTCCATTCAGAATCTTATTGGCATCCATTTCGGCGTCTCGCGCTCGTCATCCACTCAAAACGTAAGGTTAACCAACTATTTGGTCGGCTCGCAAGCCTAAACAAGTGTGTGCGGCGTCGTGCCTGTTGTTTTGTTTCCGGTCTAGCTAGATTCGCTTGCGCTTTGGTCGACAAGCAACAAAATGTCCTCACGCGGCGCAAGCAATTGAAATGAATGGGTTTCATAGCGCAGCGCCGCGCATGCGTCCTGTTGCAAAAGCATGTAAAAAAAAGCAAAGTTTGCTAGGCCAAAAAGATCGTTAATCGCGCAATAAAAAAAATTGACACCGTTAAAATGGGTTTGCGTTAACGCTGTTAATAACGCGTTTAACTGACAGCCCTAAAAATTATAAAAGAATGCCTGTTTTCTGTATAGGGTCACTAACTACTCGAGGTGTATTAGAGTCCAAGCCTTTTTTTCTGCACAACAATAATTGAATATTTAATGACTGAATAAGTCCAATTCACCTTTATCACCTTTATGTCTGATACACAATGACAAAGTGAAGTTTCACTCATAGTTACTGCAGGCAGAAAACAAAAGAATAGGAAGTATCATCAGCAAAACATGAAATGGTTCAGCGATTTACTGCAGAGCAAGTACTGAACGCAATCAAATATTAGTGCCATAGTCACTTGATGGTGGATCTGGTGAAGAAGCTGTCAGCGATCAAAATATTGATTTTGAAGATGTTGAAAATTATAGTTTTGAGAATATGGGCCAGTTCTGTCAGGACCACTATCGTCAAATACGATTGACAATTAGCATACAGTTTGGATTGGCGGTATGGTTCTGTTCTGAGCAAGAACAGCCTAAGAGCAGCAATAACCCCCCTTAGGGTAAACAGAACATAACCAACACGAATGTATTGCAGATATCATTAATTCAAGATTTTAAAGTACAACATAATTCGAGAATTTATTCTGATTCAAAGGGCACTCAGAATGCCAAATCCTGAATGACGAGAGGAGGAGCTGGGGATGGGGGAGGATAAATAGCTCCTGACAAACGCAATATTAGCTGCTGATAATACTGAAGGAGCTTATATATACAGTGATAGGCGTCGTATTCCTGTAGGTAGATGTGGATCAGCTGAGAGTCAGCTGATGTGAGCTTGACTAACGTGACCTGCCAGAACTGACGCTACGCTTAATATTTACTAACAGCTTGCGCCAGCGCAAACCCTCTTTTGGCGTTAAAAAACTACTGTCAGGATTTACTAAAGACACGGAGTGAAAAATTAGCGCTGAAAAGCCGTGGACACAGTTATTTTGCGGCTGACCTTATTTCATATGCATTTGTAGGAGTTTCCCTTTCAGGCACAACATTTATGGGAGGAGAGTATTTAAATGAATCACGCAAGGTGATTTACTAAGGTTTGCACTCGTCAATGTAGGCCTACTGGTGTTTGCGCCATTATTTAACGCCCAAAAAAGCACGTCTTAAACCAGACTCTACCTGGAAATAATCTGACTGCGTTGCGTCTGTGTTCTTTAATTTGCGCGTCGTCAGTAGATAATGCGCAGAACTTTCCATTCCCATCTGCGCTGTTTTGGAATTGTGCTCTCATGCTATTTGCCCTGTTTAGTAAACCTGCCCCTATGTTTGAGATGGAGAATATGAGCCAGATGCTGAATGTACTGGGAAATGAGCTCTGACAGTGATGATGGTATAAAACATCTGCTCAAACTGAACCTTTCCAAGCTCTAAAAGGTAACAAAATATGCTTCATTTTATTCTTCTGTAATTGTTACTCTAGTATCAGGATAGTTTTATATTATCGTGACAGGTAGAGATCCATCCGTCTTAGACATAGATCCGGTTCACTAAAGACCCAAATATGTAATAAAGATTGGTGAAACAGTAATGTATTTAAGGGTCAGTGTAAAATATTTGTGCTATTGTAATATTTGCCCTACATTATTTCTTGTTTGAGAAGCCATTTCACTCTGATATACAGTGCATCACAATATGGAAGAAAAGACTATCGCAACTTCTGTTTCATGCTGACGTTAATATAGGGAAGTCTCCCAAGGGAGAATAATGTTGCTTATATTGTTTTCAAAAAATGCTAAATGTTTTCTGTTAGGGCATTTATAACTGACTGTATATAAAATAGTATATAAAAACAGTATTAGTATGCCCCTATTTAGATAAGTATGTGTTTGAGTGTTTTTTTAAGTATCATTTGTCTGGCCCATGTTAGGAGTCAGCTATTTGCTGATTGAGACAGACAACTTCCTGTTAACACAGCCCATTTCCTCTAGGCAAGACAGGGTGAAGTATTCAGCCAATGAGAACACAACAACATCTATTCTAAGGCTCTATTAGTGCTGCTAAGCATGTGTATCAACAAGCAAGCTTCGGGCTATATTTCAGCATCCCAGGGCATGAGAAAAGACTGAAAGTCACAAAGATGGCATAAATATGTAAAAGAACAAATGATATCAGGAGAAATATTAAGGTTACACAAAATGTAAGTTGATATCTAATGTTTTTTACCTTAATTTTGAAAATATTAACTATACTTACAAATACAAAATGCTCCAGAAAGGCCATAAATATTTTTGCATCAGGAATTAAGT